GCCGGTCGTCCAAAGGGCGCTAGGAAAGACCCTGCATTGATGGAAAGGTGTGGAAAGGGGGGCTGGTGTCCCCCCTCCCATTATCCATTTCTGGAATAAGGGGAGACATAATGGCTGCATCATGGGGTGCCGGTGTCGAGTCTCCACGTTCCTGGGGGGCAGAGGGGCAAGATAATGGCAACAAGGGGAAAAAATCAAAGTGGGCTTGCTACCAACCCAGAAACAAACATGCCTACTGGGTCTGTTGTTTGAGGAGGGGGCACATTTCCCACAGCGGTCAGCCTAAACTGGAGTCCAAAACCCCCGTCCCTTCCCTTCGATTTGCCCCAAGGGCTTGACGTCCAGAAAGTCCGTGCAATTACACTCATACGGCTGCCCGTAGTGCCGCACGGCAGGGCATGTCGCCGCTTGCCCTCTGCTAACTTCATTTGTGTTCCCCAGAATTAAGGGATGGGGGGGAGGCTAGGGGGACCCAACCCAGCTTGCTTGCGGGTGCAAAGCCAGAACAGGGTTGGTTCGCGACTGAACCAACGGCTGAACTCAGCCCAGCCTGGCAAACCGATGCGAGGCTGGAGTTTTGAACCCAGAACAAGGGGACGGCAATCAAAAGGCTGGGCGCAAAGGGGGAGAGACCCCAGCCCTGCCTGTTTGTGGGTCCCCCACTCCTTTCATCAAACAGAATTGGGCGTCCAGCGTGTCCAAGTGGGGAGAAGTTCTCTTTTTTCCCTTCTATCTCTGGGGGTGCCAACCCCTGAATCAGCCCGAGATTTCGCTTTCGGCCATAACTCCCCCCCCAGTACCCGCCAAGGCCTTCCCAGGCAGGCTGAGGGTATCCCAGCCCCCTCCCCATTTCCTCCCCCAGCCACTGACTCCCACACAGAAAGGCTGGGCTAGGGAAGGATGGGGAGGGAACTCCCAGCGGATAAAAGATCGGGGCAGGAAATCTGTGGGTCGAGCCGGCTGTTCTCCAGCCGACGGGCAGCACCCCGTGGAGTCGTCCGCCCTCCCCCCTTGCGCGGTGAGTAATTCCTTGGGTGCCTCGGCAGCCCATTCATTCCTCATTCCGCAGCTCTTCACTTTGGAAATGGGGGTCTTAATATTTGGAGGGGGGCGTACGGGAGGGCTGGGAGGGGTGAACCTGGGCATCAATTCCAGAGATGGGGTTTGGCTGGGCAACATGCCAGCCTGTAATCTAAAACTCTTGGACCTGGGTGTTCCTGCGTTCACACAACTCATGGTGTTGCACCCATGTCGTGCCCTGCACGCCTTTCAGGGAGATGCCGTTGCATCGGTGGGGTCAGCGCCTGAATTTGTGTGTGCCCATTTCGGCAAGCGTGGTCTCTCCTTGGGGAGGGGGTGACGGCTCCCCCCCCCTTTTTTTGCACCGATTTATGCAGAAATGAACAGAATCTCATCCTGGGATTTCAGAATTAACTTGTAGTGTTTCTCATTCAGAAACCCTACAGTTGCCTTTAATTTTGGCTTCATTTGTAATTTGCGTTTCCTCCAGGAACAAAAGGCACTGTGCTTAGCATTTCCTCCTCCACTTTTCCCCTACCCGTAACAACAACCCTGGGAGGTAGACTGGGCCAAGAAGGGAGGGAACGTGGAGGACATCTAGACCACCCCGCTTGCTGGATTCAGAACTTGCAATTCGCAACAGCCCCCCCCAACTCAGTGTAAATACCTCCAATGCAGGTATTTAACAGAGAAGGGGAAGGAAAGGTGGCGATCCATCAGGAAACCTTAGGAAACAAGAAGGATCCAAATCCAGTATAAACTTATTTTGCTCCTCGCTCCCCCAACCGAGGTTGTAATCGTACTGGTCTACCTTGCAAGGCTGTTGTTGCTCAGCATACCAACTTCATAACAAAGCCCTGCCACTCCTGTTCTTCCCCAAGCCTCATGTTCCGGTCTCGGCGAGCCAGTTTGGTGCAACGGCTCTGGAGACTACGCTGCGCAACGCCCGGCCTGGATGACAACCACGGGGCCCTGAAGCCGGTGGCCCACGCGCTCTTCAAGAAGCTGAAGGACAAGGAGCTGGAGCAACTGCTGCAGGCGGTCGAGAGCCAGGGGGCCGGGGAGTCGGGCTGCGTCTGGGTCGAGCCCCGCGGCGCCAAGCCAAGCCTCTCGGCTTCGCTGCTCCTCTGCCGCCTCTATCGTTG